TATAGAGAGTGTGGGGTGGGTGGGGAGTTATAATTTAAAACAGGCTGACTAGTAGTAACATTTGAGCAGAGATTTAAAGGAGGTGATGGGGCAGGAGTATACTTGGTGTGCTCTAGGAGCAGCAAAGAGGCCTGTGTAGTTAGATCAGAGTGAGTCAGTGGTTCTTAGACATTTGGGGATGCCTGGAGACATTTTTCATTGTCACAACGGGGGGTGGGAAGTGCAGGGTTGCTGCTGGTCTCCGGTGAATAGATGCCGGGATGCTGCTGAACATCCTGCAGTGCACAGACAGCTTCCTACAACAAAGATTTATTTGGTCTGAAATGCCAGGTGTGCTGAGGTCAGGAAACCCTGGAGAGTGAGGCAGAGTAGCAAAGAGATAGTCAGAGAGGTAAACTGCCAACCAGGTTTTTTTTGGAACTAGAGAAGCTGATTCAGAAATTCTTATGGAAAAATATGTGATAATAGCTGGGGGCAGGAGGTGGGGAGGATTAAAAAGAAGAATAAACAGAGTTTTACCATATTTTAGCATACACTATAAATATTCTTACGACAAATGACTAATTTCCTTAATATATAAAGAGTTCTTATAAGTGAATAAGAAAAGGCCTTTTTAAAAAACTCTTAAAAATAGGAAAAAAGGAGTTTACCCCCCCAATAAGGATACACAAATGGATTATAAATATGTGAAAAAATTATAAATGTTACTTGCAGTTTAAAGAAATGAGAATGAAAATCATGAGATAGCATTTTGCAACTATCAGAGTAGCAATGATTGAGAAATTTGATTATATACAGAGTTATTCAGGATATGTGAGAATATGGCCTCATGCACAGTTCTTTTTTTTTTTTTTTTTTTTGGCTGCATTGGGTCTTCGTTGCTGGCTTTCTCTAGTTGCGGCGACTGGGGGCTGCTCTTCATTGCAGTGCGTGGGCTTCTCATTGCGGTGGCTTCTCTTGTTGTGGAGCACAGGCTCTAGGCGCACGGGCTTCAGTAGTTGTGGCACACAGGCTCAGTAGTTGTGGCTCACGGGCTCTGGAGCGCAGGCTCAGTAGTTGCAGTGCATGGGCTTAGTTGCTCCGCAGCATGTGGGATCTTCCCGGACCAGGGCTCGAACCCCTGCATTGGCAGGCGGATTCTTAACCACTGCACCACCAGGGATTCCTCATGCACAGTTCTTGAGAATATATATTGGCATAGCCTTTTTGGAAAGCAAGTTGGCAATATCTGTCCCAGATTTTTTGGGGGGGGTGGGGGGGCCCAGGTGCCACACAGCTTGTGGGATCTTAGCTCCCCAACCAGGGGTGGAACCCGGGCCCTCAGCAGTGAAAGTGCAGAACCTTAATCACTGGGCTGCCAGGGAATTCCCCTCTGTCCCAGATTTAAATACATATATGTTTTCATCCAGCATGCCATTCTAGGTAAGTATTCTACTCAGGTACATTTACAAAGATTTAAGTACAGACATGTTTATTACAGTCTTAGCAAAAGATTGGAAATGACCCAAATGCCCATCAACAGGGGTCTTGTTTATTATACGGTATACACTTACAATAGAATACTATGCAGCTTTTAAAAAGACCGAGGCTTACTCCTAGGCACACAGCCAAGAGAAGTGAAAACACATGTCCACAGAAAGACTTATGCAGAGAGTTTTATAACAGCTTTATTCAGATAGCCCTCAACTGGAGCAAGCCTAACGTCCATCAAAGGAGAATAAACAAACCGTGGCATATTCATACAATGGAACACTACTTAGCAACAACGATGAAAAGAATGAATGGATACACACAACCGGAATGAATTTCTAAAGCATTTTGTTGCACAAAATAAATCAGACACAAGAGTAGGTACTGTATGATTCCATTTACATGAATTTCAACAGGCAAAACCAACCCATGCTGACAGAAATCAGTACAGTGGTTGCCTCAAGAAGGTGCAGATTCCTGGAAGGGGCAAGAGAACCGTCAGGGGTTAAGGAGATGGAAATGAGGTGTTGCTTACACCTTTTATACAGTTGTCTAAATCACTGAATTGTACACTTAAGATCTGTGCAATTCACTGAACTTAATTTTACCTCAGTTTATAAACAAAATTGGGAATTCCCTGGTGGTCCAGTGGTTAGAACTTGGTGCTCTCACTTCTGGGCCCTGGGTTCAATCCCTCCGCTTTTGGCGGAGCAGCCAAAAATAAAAAATGAAAAAATAAAAACAAAATTAACTATTGAATGGGGAAATAAAGTCAAACTTAATATGTCCTGAAATGGAATGATCTCCAAATAAATTAAGGGGGAGGGGTGGAAACAAGGACAGAAAATGTGTATAGTATGCTCCCACATGTAATAAAGAGGACACATACCTATTACATAAGCTTGTATACAGTTGGCCCTCTGTATCCTTGAGTTCTGCATCTGCATATTCAACCAACCACCATGCAGGATCCCAGGTACGGGGGTGCCAGCGGTACTAGGCCATTTTATACAAGGGACTTGCGCATCTGCAGATTTTGGTACCCTCAGGGGTCCTGGAGCCAACCCCTGCGGGCTGACTGTATATGTAACATGTCTGGAAGGACATGTAAGAAACTGTTGGGCAATGGTTGCCTTTCTGGAAGGGCCTGGAGGCCTCAAGGTCTAAAGTGGAGGGACATGTCTCAATACTTTTTTGTACTGTTGGAATTTTTTCACTGTGTTCATGGTAACTTTTTAGATATAAAAACTAGTTAAAATTTCTTGATTGGATAACAGGGTGCTCTGAGGTTGAATTGTCATATTTCTCTACCCTTGATAGCTGGAAGCAGGGACATAAATGCTACTCTAACACTGCCAGCAGTGGGGGGGCCTATGTCTCTGAGAGTAGAAGTGGGCATTTGCACGAGCATGTCAGGGAAGCGCCTGGAAGGCGTTTCTGGGGCAGGGAAGGGAGAACCTGAATCCTGGCTCAGGACACCACAGGAAGTAAACTGAATATCTGTCGGAGCACAAGGGTTTGGGCAGGAAATGATAAGCTTTCTGTCGGAGAATGTCAAAAGCCATCCCATGATGTGGAAGATTTATCATGATGGAATTTTTTTTTAATGTGAAAAGAAGCTTCTTTGGTGGGTTGGAAGACAAGGCTTTTAAGAGGATGTGGGACCAGGGGAGAGAGTACCCCAGAAAAAGGAGTTCTGAGCTAAGAATAGGACTTCCAGGTGTAATTTTTAACCAGACAGTCCAGCATTTGGTCTTTATTTCCACAAACAAGAACATGCCATCAAGGGTCCCACCAGGGAATGTCCATATTCATTTTGAGAATTGGACTCTGTGCTAGTGAGCTGACTCCCTGCTTGAAGTCCAGAGCAAAAGTTTCATTATCCATTATTCTTGTGTGTAAGGGACGGTGGGGAGGAAGGAAGACTTTTCCTGTCCCAGGGAGATGCCCTGCTCGCTGGCTTTGCCAGAAGAGGCAGTCCAGGTCTTTCCCTAAGGAAGTCCTCAGCTCAGAGGGACAGGGAAGGATCCCAATTCCAGATCAAAGGATAAGGAACCCTGGAATGCATGGGATCCTTGTGGAGTCATAAGTCCCTGGCAAAACAGTTCAGAGAGCAATCCTGGTCAGGATTATGTGTTCAGCTAACCTTGGGCCCAAATGTTTGATGTATGCAAAGAAGAAGGAAATCAAGGGTCTTGGGTAGAACCTCTTTACAAAATATAAGAGGCAAAAATATCAATGGGGAAAAGGTCTCAGAGGGCTTTCGGAAAATGGCTAAGACCCAGATGGGAGCAGGGAGTGGGCCATGTAATAGACTTTAAACCAAGACATCATGGGGATGTGGCAGGGGCTGCATCTGGCCCAAGCAGATGAAGGGTCAGTGGGGTAAGGGTGTTCATGACTCTGGGGAAGGGCCCTTACAGATGCTCTAGTCCGGCCCCTTCCTAATGGAAACTGAGGCCCAGAGGGTGGACTGACTTGTTCAGTATCCAATGTCAGGACTGAGCTTGGTCCATGACTCAGACTCTAGCCTCCCAATCCAGTGGTTCTCCTGGAAGTGGAGGCAGAGGTGAAGCCCTTGACCAAACACATACTCTCTTCCTACCTAGGAATGTGTTTCTACTGAATTCCATGGAAAGGGAGCCACTCAAGTAGCCTGGAGTGAGGGCAGCCCTCTGAAAGGGTCATAATAGCAGACCCTGGTTCATCACCTACCCAGCTGCTCCCCCTTTTCTTCCCCTGCCGGAAGCCATATTTTGTAGTAGGTGAAAACCTCTTGATTTCAGGAAACATAGGCCAATTTCCCAAGCCCAAGAAATGAGTCCTAATTGGTCTCATGGTATTCCAATTCCCCTTTGTCAGTGATTGGCCTAAGGGTGGGCATATGATCTAGTTCTGGCCAACAAGACATAAAGGGAAGATTGTAGGGCCTTCTGAGAGAGCTTTTGCTTTTCTAATGAAAGGGAAAGATGCAGTAGGCGCCATCATGCCCCCATCTCGCACACCTTCCTTCCTGCCTTCAATGCAGATGTGTATATAGTATGAGGGTCAAGCATGACAGCGAAGGCGTAGCACCCTTAAGATAGCAAAGTGGACGATCAATCCCAAGTCTTTGGTGGCCCGAGATAGCTGCTGGACCAGTGCCAGCAACTGTCTACCTCCAGACTTCTTGTTAAGTAGATATTAAATGCCCTTATGATTTAGGCCGCTGTTAGCTAGGTTTTCTCCTACTTGCAGCCGAAAGCAATCCTGATCTGCACTGGCCGTAAATGTTAGTGCAGCTCCAGCCAACTTCAAGAGACGCTGTTTAGAAACAGCCTTTGGTCAGCCTCCTCAACCTTGGGATCTGTTCTCCGGAACCCCCACCCAGCTTTCTTGTCATTCCTCAACCAGATGGAATCCCCCCACCCTTCCACCCACCCCACCACATCCTCCCCCATCAGCCTGGCCAGTCCTACTCATCCTTCATTGCCCACGTTGGATGACCTTCCCTGACCTTGCTCACTACCACCAGGCATACTTCTGATTGACAACACTGATCAGTCATTTATTTACCAATCACACTTGTGGTGGTCTGCTGTGGATTAGCCATAGGGCTAGCACTGGACCCAGCAGGGAGTGCAAGTCCTTGGGAGCCCTCACTGGTGGGGCAGACACATCAACAGCGGCAGTGTAGGGAGTAGTGATAGAGGGGTGGGTCGGTTTTATCTTGGCAGGGGAGCAGGTAGCCATTTCCATACTGCTCTCTCCAACCAAAGGCTTTATTTCTCTGGGCAAAGACCAGCCCTGTCTGTTCCAGGACTGACCTAAGCCCATCGCAGAGGAGGCAGCAGAAAGGGCTCTTGTGAATGATCCCTGAGCAGGCAGGGCCTTGGGGTAGATGTGCTCTTGGCCACCCACCTTTCCCTACCATCCCTGTAAGGCCAAGGCCCTTAATGGCTAAGGAAGCAGCAGTGGACATGGCAGCAGAAGATCCATATTGGAACCTTAGCCACCACTAACTTGATGTGTGACTTTGGACATGGCCTGGCCTCTCTGAGCCCCAGTAGTAATGAAAGACAGAGGAGGTTAACAATGCCTGCCTATCTCGCAGGCTGCTGCAAAGACTGAATGAGATAACTGTCCGATGCACCAGGGCCGGGGAGGCCTGGCACACTGAAGGTGGGCAGTAAGTGTTCATTCATCCACCTGCCTGCCCGCCCCCACCCTACACACAGCAGAAAGCCAGAGACAGCGCCGTGCACCTTCCGTGGGAGACAGACTGGGCGCTCAGACATCGTCCCGCCCAGGAACCAGGTGGCGTATGCTTGGTCCTCGGGTGGGGCATGGGGGTTCCTTGTTCCCATACTTTCTCCTGCTCTGAAAAATACCATCAATGGAGCAGCACAAGAAGCAAGGGAAATTGGGTTGGTGGTAGGAGGATAGGATTCTCTCATGTGTCTCTCACAGGTTGTTCTGAGGGTTCCCAGACCACTCTGGAGTCTGTCCAGCAACTTCAGGGAGATTCACTCATGGGCAGGGGCTGTCTGCTCAGGGACCGCCGGGCACTGCTTGTTCTCAACGATGCTCTGTCAGCAGCAGGCTAGACTGTCAAGACCAGTCAGCAGAGGGAGGCTTTCCCCAGAGGTGCCCAAACTCTGGCGTGACAGACAAACCCTAAAGGAACCCTGCTTTTGGCGGTTAACAGGTATTCGCTCTGGGTCTGCAGGTGAGGGAGGACCTAGACCTCCGCCTGTGGCCCCAAAGGAGGCCATCACTGCCCATACTTGGAGTGTGATCCCAGCTGTCATGGGGCAGGAAAAGCATCTCCCGGAAGAGCCAAACTGACCTGCCTGGGAGAAAAGGGGTGGATTCCAGCAAATGTCGGCCAGACAATAGAGGGGCCTAGGAGCTGAAGGAGGTGCCCCACAGAGCTGGGAAGGGGGTCCAACCTGTCAGTTCAAATGGAGCAGTGAACTGTCAGTGGGGTGCTGCAGGTGGTGTCGTCCGGAAGTTATCGACTCAAATTCCTCATCCTTTGGCGGTGGCACCATACTCCTGGTGGTCCCAGGAGGCTCTGATTCCCACTCACTCCAGCAGTGGAAAGCTTCCCAGGACCGGACATTTTGTCCCCAGGCTGGGTTGTCCCTTCCGAGTGACGGGAGGGATCTGAGGCAGCCCAAGGTAAGCTGGGAGAGACACAGGCTCTGGAAGGTTGTTTTCTCACCTCCAGAGCTGGGATCTGGTTGCCATTTGGATGACGAACACCAGAGCCCAGCCATGGGGCCAGCTCGAGGCTTAGTGGGGGTGGGACCCTGCCTGTCCCAGAGATGATGGCAGGCCCCCAGGAAAGATGGATGCCAGCAGCCTTATGGGAGGCTCCCTTCACTTCCGAGCCTGCCCTCCAGACACCCATCCCCAGCTGAGACCCCAGGCTTGGAGGAAGAGGTGGCCCGTTGGCTGGGTCTCCGTGGGGTGTGGGCATCATGGGGTCACCTTGGGGCATGAACCCCAAAGCTCTGCTACAAGTTGTACTGGAAGGTTCGGGTGTCCTCAGGAGGGCAGGGGCCTTGGGCGTGGTCTTGCGGCTCTTCCTAAGTCTCAATGTGCTGTCACATTAGCCCAGTCAGGGAAACTGTCCAAGTCAAATATGACCCGTCCCCAGGTGTTGACGGCCAAAAATACACAGGTGATTCCAATGATGTTCATTATTAGTCCTGTTTTCATCTGGAAAAAAACAGGGTCAGAGTCAGCACCCTCGGGTCTGCCAGGCTGTCAGAACAAAGGTGAATGGGCCTTGGGAACCAGCACTCTGGGAGAAGGGAGCAAAGGACAGACAGACTGTTTGCTGGGCCTCCCGTCCCCGGGCCAGGCCCTGTGCTCACCCCACCCCCCAGGCAGAGCATCTTGGTGTCCAGTAAGAAGCACCACTGCTAAAGCAGCCTGGGAAACAGGCAGGACAGGTGGGCTCTTCAGGCCCATTGGGACGTTTGGAAAACTGGGCCTCAGGGAGGTGAGGGAGTGACTGGAGGGGCCCGGGTCTGACTGCAGGTGCAGCGCTCACCCCAGCGCCTTCACCGTCCCACAGGCACGTGCTGGCCTTTCTAGGGCATGCTCTGCGTTCTTTGGGTGCTCACTAACCATTGCTTTCGAGCCCTGTGGCAGAGTTTTCACTGGGGATTGGAATTGAGTTTGCAATTCCTGGTTTCTGGGACCCACCCTCTGTGTGAGAATGCTCCATGGAGTCCCAAAGGTACCCAGCGGAGGCTCTGAGTTAACTAACACCCGATTGGGCCGAGGGAGGGACCCGCCTTCCTGGCCTCCCCTGTTTGCCCACTTGCCTCTCCCCATTCCGGAGCTGCAGAGCCGCCCTCCTCCCACCGGAGGCTGGGATAAAGCCAAAGCAGAACTGAAGAGTTCCTCCTTTGGCAGCATTTGTTTCCAAGGCAGCATCTGCTCCCAGGCAGTGGTGTCTCTCCTCCTGCCTGCTTCCATGTCTGTAGACACCTCTGTCAATCTCTCTGGCTGTCATTAACATTTCCCCTCATCTCAGCCTTGCCCCTCCTGACTGTCCTCACGGGTTCTTACTAGATTGTGAAGTCCATCTTGTCCATGTGGGACTCCCACCCTCACCCCTTCCAAGTGCTCAGTGAAGGCTCCCCTGGTGGCTGCTCGGGCACTTCCAGGTGGGAGATTCTGTAACCCACCTCTCAGCTTTGGGAGACAGAACAGTCTATGAAATAAGAGATCATGTCAAAAAAGAAGAAAAAAGCTGCATATAAATGCAAATAATGAGTTAGGTCTGGACATTTGGTCCCAAACTGTTTGACACCACAAGTCATTAATAAATGGGGCATCCCTCATGACAAAAGCATCATAGCTGATAGGAGTGAATAAAAGCGGCTGCGTTACCATGTCGGAAACCTTGAGGTGTCCATAGGAAAACACGATGGCATTAGGTGGGGTGGCCACGGGCAACATGAAGGCAAAGGATGAAGTCAGGGTACAGGGGATCATGATGTACAGCGGGTTGAGGCCAATGGAACGTGACTGGGGAAAAACACAGCACTACAACGTCACAGATGCAGAAAACAAAAGCTCCCGGGAACCATCACTCTAAAAAGCTTTTCCCTGATGTACTGTGTACATTCCCACCTCTGTGCCTTTGTCCTGCTGGCTCCTCTACCCTTTGCCACAGCTGGATGATAACTCTGCTGGACCCTGAAGGCTAAACTTACCGGAAAGCCTTTCTGAACCCCCTCAATTCACTCAGCATATACTTCTTGGGCACCTACTATGTGCCAGAGACCATGCTGGGCACTCCTGCAGCCCATGTGTGCACATGTAGGTCTGTCCTGACACAGAGAGAGCCTAGAGGGCAGGGACCACATCTCTCACCTGTGTGTGTGCCTCTGGATGGATGTGTTTTTGTACACATTTGGGATCATTTTGTGTATGAAATTTGGTATCCATCTGTTCAAAGCTTAAAATTCAGCCACATCTAGCACAGAGTAGACAGATGCTCATAAATATTTGTTGAAAGAATGAATGATATAATAATTTGTAATGTCTGTCAATATCAAAATTAATAATCTATCATGCAGATCTACTTGCACATGAGAGCAGACACATATGCAGAGATGTTCAGTGCAATATTGTAACAGCAAAACACACAGGAAACAGACTCGACGGCCATCAATAGCAGGACGGTCAAATAAAATACATATATACAAACAATGGAATAGTTTGCAGCTGAAAAGAAGAATTGAGTAGGTCTTATGTGCTAACAATGGAAGGATCTCCAAGATATATGATTAGATTTAATAAGGTGCAGAACAGGACCATGGAATAGTGCCATTTAACAGGAGTTGTCTCTAGGGAGGAAGCTAGAGCGTAAGGGTCTGTATACTCTTTGGTATTATTAGACATTTTCTGGCTATGTGTATGTATCACATTTTCAGCTTTGAAAAATTATGTGTTCCCATTTTATGAAATACCCTTCAGGACTGTGATTTTTTTTTTAATGGCTTGATAGTATTACATTGTATGAATATATGATAACTTATTTCACCAATCTCTGCTATTATGCAAGTATTTTTATAACAAATAATTCTTTGATGTGCATCTTTATAATTTAAGCTTGTAGGCATCTCTGATGATTTTCCTAAGACAGATTCCTGGACATAAAATTCCCAGAGTCCGGTATAATCTCTTAACAGTAGGGTTTTTTTAAATCCTTGTCATTTTATTTTCACAAACCTTATATCTTAAACCTTTCTATGCACAAAATATAAATATGTACATAATTTTTTTTTACCAGTGGCCTCCAATTTTCTTTATTTTCACCACTATCAGGAAAGTATTTTAGCATATACTTTTAATATAGGGGGTTTTATTATAACATATATACATGTATCACTGTATTGATATATTCTAAACCATAGGAAAAAATAAATATTTTTTTATTGGAAAAAAAATTAAAAATTCCCAGAGTCAAAGGGTTTCAGGTTATGGTTCCCATGGGTAAACAGGTCTCTGAAAAGGCTGCGCCAGTTACACTCCTAGGAGTAACTGAGAGGAACCAGTCTGCTTCCTGGTTTCCCCATGGGGTATGCACCCCATGTGCCTCTGTGACCCAGCTGGGGGGTCACCACCTTCCCTTTGCCTGCAGGTGGGTGCTGAGGCAGGAGTGTGAGGTCTGTGTGGAATCTAAGTCAGGACTTAGGATTCTAGAAAAGCTTGTTTTCGAAGGGCCTGGCCACCATCTCAGGTGAAGACCCCCATTTGATTAGTGTCTGGAGGTGACAAAGCCAGGCCTCTACTAGGGGAAGGAGTCCTCACTATGGCACGACCAGCATCAGAAGACGTTCCTCGGCATCTTTTCGCCCTGAGCAGCCTGCTTAGGGGAGGGGGAGATGGGCCGCCTTGCTCTTTCTAATACTTCCATCTTCTCTTGGAATAAAAGGAGAAAATCACTTGGGTTTGCTTTTTATACACGTGGACACCCTGGCAACTGGTAAATGAAAATTTACCAACTTCAAAATCCTGTGTTGAGGCCTTTGTAAGTCTGTCCTCCCAACTCCAGAATGACAGCCCCAGCCTCTCCCCAGCTCATTTTACATCTATAGCAGGTTTTCATAGGCCTCATCCTACTTGACCCTCAGCACAAGAGTAGGAGAAAGAACTCGAGTGACGGGTTTGAGGATCCCACTTGAACTCAGGTCTTCTGACTCCGAACCTAGGGCTTTTTCTGTACCACCTTGAGGTTGGTACTGCCAAGTGATGAGTGACAAAAGGAAATGCAAGAGGAGGTCACAGTCGAGCTTCCTGTAAGCTCTGCTTTCTTCTTAGTCCCAATTCAAAAACATGCTTGCCCACGGAACACAACTCTTTAGCTTGGCACTCAGCATCCCCATCCACCACCACCCACAGCCTCTCTGGGCTCAGTGCCCACTGATCCCCAATCCCTGAGCTTGCCAAGCAAGGCTTCTGGGAGTTTTCAGTCATGCACTTCATTTCCTTTATGTGGGCTACTCCATCTTCCCAGAACATCCTCTCCCCTCCCACCATTCCCAGGCTCCATTTCCCCCAAGATTCTTCCTGGTGGGTTCCAGCCAATGGTGTCCCCCTGTCTTGCAGGCCCTCTGCTCTCCTGTGCTGTATTCTGAGAGACCCTCTCTCATTCCCCCATGGCATCCTTGGTGTAAACCCTGTCTCTCCAGCTTGAGAAATAATCTATTACATTTATAAATAAATTTAGGGCACCTGGTTGTTGCTTAGCACTTTTGGTCAGCGTGGAGGATACAAAGAAGAACCAGCAAAGCATTGAGCGCAGGCCCAGGGCCATCAAGGGCACACAAGTCTGTGTTGGAGCAGGGCTCAGGACCCAGGTCTCCAGAGCCTGGCCAGGCTTGGGCCCCTGATGTCACTGCCTCTCTAGGGACCCAGGATATGGTCAGCTTCCTATGAAATGACGACTAAGGGTCATCACCCCCAGCAGGGTTACTTACCATGGAGGCAAAGATGGGCAGGAACAGGGTGGTGGTAGCCACGTTGCTTGTGCATTCTGTGAGCACAGCAATGAGTGTGGACAAGATCAAGGTGATGGCTGCTGGGGACACAGCATGCAAGGGCTCCATCTGCTTCCCCATCCATTCTGACAGCCCCGAGGCCTGGGAAATACAGGGAGGGCAGTCACCACAGGGCTCGTGGCTCACAGTTCCTCCGGAGCCTGGAGGGACCTTCATCTGTCCCCAAAGAGCTCAGCCCACCTTCACTGCTGATTCTCTCTCTCCGCATACATTACCAGGTGATCTAATTCATACCCACAGTTTCAGTCTCCACCCTCACTCTGCGGCCTCCTAAATCCTCACTTCCAGCCCAGCTGGTCTGCTGTCTGGATTCCCGCCCAGATATCCCATGAGCGTGTCAGACCCAACAGGCCCCAACCTGAATTCATCTTCTGCTCCCCCGGGCTCCCCAGCCCAGTGACCAGACTCACCTAGTGTCCAACCTAGAAGGCTAGGGGGTCATCCTGGGGCCTCTGTCCCCCTTATTTCTTATGCCCAGTCACCATGTCACCCAAAACATCTCATGTCCATCATCTCCTCTCTGTCTCCCACAGTTCTTAAAGCTCAAGAGAGTGATTTGAGCCAGAAATTGGGAATTTAGATTTGGGGCTTTAGGCTAAGAATGGATTGTCCAGGGCGAGAATGAAACCTGAACAAAGAAGCAGCCAAGGACAGAACCTTCAGGAACACTCATATTTAAGGGAGAACAGAGGAAAAGTCAATCAAGGAGGCAGGGCAGGAATGGTCAGAGTTAGAAGTAGACAGGAGAAAATGATGTCTTGGGGACCAAAGGAAGAAGGAGTTTCAAGAAGGAGACAATGGTCCATGGAGTCCAGTGCTCTGAGCCTGTGTTAGATGAAGGCTATGGAGCATCTACTGGGTCTTCCCCAACCCCTGTCCGGCCTAGGCGTCCACTTCAGACATCCAGGAGATTTTTCCCAAGTGCAGATCTGACCAAGTTACTCTCTGGCCTCAACCCTTTAGTAGCTACCCACCACCTTCAGAATAAGGTCCACACTCCCTATCTTGACCCTCAGTGAAGTGGCTTCTGTGAGCCTCACCAGCCTTATCGTCTGCTGTTCCTCAGCTGGATACAACACGCTGATTTCTTTACTCATGTGTCACTTCTTTCTGAAATGCTCTTCCAAACATGCCCCCCTCTCTAGGCTGTGAAATCCTCAAGAACAGGGACCATATGTCAATCTCCTCTGTAATTCCTGTGCCTGACCTAACGCAGACATGATAGGAAGGTTTGATGATGAATGAATGAGTGAATGAGAAATGGATGGAGAGGTGACTAAATGGATGGATCTGTTCATCCAAATAATAGTTATGTACCCACTATGTGCCAGGCTCTGTCCTAGATGCTGAGGAAACAGCAATAATAAGATAGACCAAGTCTATGGATTACGCTCTATTCCTGGATAGATGGATGAACAGTTGGACAGAGGAGAGCAGCACCAAGCATCCCTCCCTCTGGCTCATTTCTTCCCTATCAGGGAAGGGGGGAGGTAAGAAAGTTGCATTTTTGGGTGTTTTCCCCCAAAAACTCCTCCTCTCCTCCTATGTCACTACATACCTAGCTAGAGAAAAAAAATTTTTAATGGCAACCATATCAACAAAGACTTGAAAGAAAGATCTGCCTAGAATAAATCAAAGCAGAGATTGTTATTACCAAACCCCACAGGAGACCTCCCAGCATCCCCCATCCCTTTTGGCTAACCAGGGTCACTCATTCACTCATTTCTGAAAATCACTCAGAGAGTACTTTCTCTATTCCAGGCACTATTCATGGTGCAGGGTACCTAGATGACAAGGCAGAGGCCCTGTCTTCAAGAAATGAACAGTTACATGGAGAAGACAGACACAGAAACACACAGGCACAGGCCTGGGGTGCCGAGAAGGAGGGGTGCAGCAGTTCTCAGCTGCCCTCTTGGTGAAGGAAGGGGCCCTAGGCAGCCCACAGTGGAGAAGTTACCTCGCATCCTTTAGCCAGAGCAAAGCCACCCCCCAGGAGCAGCACGATGCCCCAGGGTACTTTCTCCTGGGCCACCTTCCAATTCAGCAGCGGAGGTGGATAAAATGGTGTTTTCATTTCTGAGAAGAGATGATAAAAACACACACACATACATTGGGAATTCCCTGGCAGTCCTAGTGGTTAGGACTCCGTGCTTTCACTGCTGAGGGCCCAGGTTCAGTCCCTGGTTGGAGACCTAAGATCCCACAAGCCACGTAGCGTGGCCAGGAAAAAAAACAAAACAAAAACCCATACATAGCCCAGAGCAGCATTAGCAAGCAAAAGAGATAAAACAGATCTAATGCAGGGGAATAAAAGCCTGCAAGGACAATGAGTGCCGTCTTATATCTGTAAATTAGCTAAAATTTACGGTAATCACTACAACACCCGCTGCTGGTAAAGACATGGTATGGTAAAGCTGTTATACACTCCTGTTAGTGTTATAAATTGGTGCAGTCTTTTTGAAAAGCAATTTACCAATACATTTTAAAAGCCTTGAAGACATATATACTCTTTTACCCCAGCTGCAATCACTGCTAGAAATTTATCCTAAAGAAGAAACACCCTCAAAGAAAAAGCTATATTCACGAAAACATTTATTTATAATAATGAAGAATTCAAAACAGCCAGAATGCTCCATGACAGGGGAATGGTTACAGCCCCCGATACAATATAATGCCGTTATTAGAGAAAATGAATTGGAAGACCGTGGCAATAGCAGGAAATGTTTCTAGCATAACCACGAGCAAAAGCATGAAAACAAAAACCAGTAAAGAAACAGGATTGAAATTATGTGTGTTTTGATTATAGCCATATAATATATATGCATATTAACAAAGACTGAGAGGGAGAGAGAAACCCCCAAAATACTGATGGCATTATGGGAAATGTGAAATCTCTTTCTGTTCCTGTTGTCAAATAAATACGATTTCAAATGTTTAAAAAGCAAAAGAGGAAATTTTGCACTAAACAATATGCAGAGAAGCCTTGGAAAATACGCTGTGCCCAGACTTTGTAATCTAGCCACAGTCCTTTTCAGCAGGGTGAGATGTTCTCCCTCCCGGGCCCAGGGAACACCATGGAGATCCCTTGCTGCCGGGCCCCAACCCTGATGAAAGCGAGGCCAGGACAGGAGCCTTACCTTCCTCAGTCTGGCTGCAGAAGTTGAACTTGGGCTTCTGCGAAGGCACAATGAATAGCAAGATGGCCACAAAGATGGCCACTGTGGCATCGGAGGCATACCTGGGCAGGGAGGAGCACATGGGATTAGCCCATCTTGGCTACACGACAGTCATGCAGCAAGCCTGCTCCCACGTGAGGAAACAGGCTCATCTGAGTAAGAAAACTGGAACCCCAAAGGCCAAGATCAGGAGGGGTGAGGTAGACTGAATCCTGGCTGGACACCGAGACTCCCGCGTTCTTGGCCTAGCTCTGCCACCAACTTCGAGTGGCTCTGAGCGGCTCACTTCCCTCTCTGTCTGTGTTGCTCCATAGGTGAACTTCATGAGCTCTTCCCAACCAGATTCTCTGGGATTCTGGGTTCACCAGGGTGGCCACAAGGACTTTGGGGCTACCCCAAGCAGACCTTCAAAATGGAATGAGCAGTAACAGGCAGCAATCTCCCTGTCCACATCTCCTGCCCTTTCTAGGATATGCATGTTTCTCAACCTTTCTTCCATTCTGACCACATAACATCTTAGCCAGGAGAGAAACTTCATATCCCCCCTTTTGCCAAGTCTCTGTCTAAAGAAGCTTCTGGACCCAAGGATGTGTGTCTTCAGAGGGACTCGCCCGGACCTGAAGAAAGATGAGAAAGGAAAGATGGCAGAACAGAGACTTGGAAACCAGAGCGCTGAGAGCCCCAGTCCCAGCCCAACCGACCTCTCTCTATCACAGCCTGGCTACCCTGCCAGCCTGTTGGGGCAAGAGGGGCCACAAGAACACATCTGTGAGCTTGTCAGGAAGACTGGTGAGACATAAATGAGTCCAGAAACCAACAGAGTGCTCCAGAACTGGACAGCAGAAAAGGAGGAGAGCCATGGGGGCGCGCTGTCGGAGGAGTCACTTACTTTGTCTTGCCCTCCACCCAGGTGATTGACAGCCAGCCGGGCATGAAGCCGGGGTCCCGGGAGAACCACAGGCCGACCAGCAGGAAGAAGCAGAGAAGGACGTTGACCTCAGCGAAGGAGAGGGGCCCCAGCTTCCTGTACTCCGCCCACAGCACCTCGTGGGCAGCCTTCTCCTCACTCTTCTTCTCCAGCCCGCAGCCCCAGGACTCTTTAATACTAGAGAGTGCAAAGACAAGAGGATGGCGGGGCGCGCTGGCTGACTCAGGGCTGGTTGATGGAAGCGTGAACACTGGGCAGCAGAACGTGATAGGAAGCCACACAGGGCTGCCTGTCCCCCGGGGGCCCTTGAGCAAGTCCCTTCCCACTCCCCAGTTCTGTCATCTGCCTACCCTACCTCACAGGACATAGTGGGGCAAAGTCTCTGTTTTATGGGCCCAGCATATGCCCCCAGGGTGCCCCCAGAAGAAGCCTGAGATGGCACAGGTGGGGTGTCAGGGACAGTGGAGGTAGGAGGAGAGGACGGTCAGGAGGGTGGGAGGCTGAGCAAAACAGGGAACAGGGGATGGACAGGAGCATCGGAAGCAGAGCCGAGGCCACTGCTGGCAAGGGGGTCCCGGCAGGTGCCAGTCGCCTAGAGACCGGTGGCTGCCGACATCTGGGGGTGGCCGTGAGAAATCTGGAACCGGCACAAGGTGGGGCCGAGGCTCCTTCACGTGCTCCGTCTTCCTCCTCCCACTGCGGCCTGGAGCTGCCTTCGATGGTGCCAGGATGCCAGTCCCCATCAGCAGGTGGCTCAGGAGGACACAAGGAACAAGGACAGGTCCCAGCAGACCGGGTCAGGCAGGAACAGGGTGGGTACTTGCATTGCAAGGAGCTGACATGTAGGATTAAGGACCCAGAAGACTCTGGGGCTCGTAGTAGCTGTGGCTAAGGCAGGAGGGAAGCCAGCCAGGTCCTGCTCTTGGATGGGCTCCCTAGGAACCAGTGCCCATTGGCCAACACGCCTGCCCAGGGCACCCTGCAGGACTTCCCTGGGGAGTGTTGGCAGGAGGGGGCAGGAAGGAGGAGGGATCTCGGAGGAGTTATAGAGGGTACCTAGCCTTGGGGAGGGGCTGACTGGGGCCACTGGCACACAGGATGCCAACCCCGAGGGATCCGCTGAGGATTCCAATCACACGTTCCAGCCCCCGTCAGCCTGAAGGTGGGGGGCAAGGCCAAGAGGATTATCCCTAGAGAGGCTTCCCTTGTGGGAGTCCTTCCTGGGACCCTAAAACAGACTTCCTAGGAGCACAGGGGTTAATGGAATACATGCTGAGGTGCCGAATGCTGAAGCCAGGGCTGGACGGGAACCACCCTTGAGAGGGTGAGGGCCATGCGGGGCATGGGGCACGGCCTAGAGCAGGGACTCAAGGAGGTTGGGACACAGCTTCCCGCGGTGCTCAGGGGTTAGGAAAGGAAGTGGCAGTGATGGGGACTCAGGTCTGCACAGCTGGCCAAGATTTCCGTTCTGGACAAGGGGCAAGGACGTTTGTCCTCAGGGTCACCCGCCAGGGACACCCTCCAGATCATCCAGCATGGGGATGGCTCTGCTGGCGTGGGAGCTGGCCTCTTTGTCCTCGCCCCCTTGGCATGAGAGCGTCTGTGTTCCACCCACTAGCGATCTGCTGCCACCTGTCGTTCTCGAGACTCGGGGGCTGGACCAGAGGCTTCAGGCTTCCAGGATAAGGGGTGACTTTGGTAGCTGCCCAGCCCCTGTCTGATGCTGGAGACACATCCCGACACCACACTGGCTGCAGACTCCGGGGGCTGCATCATATATGCAGTTGTCCAGTGCCGGCCCCCTGCAGTGGTGCCCCCAGGCCTTCAGGTCCCTCTCACACTAAGTGGTTCACATTCATCTTTGGGTTTATCCGTCTGGTGACCCCTGGGCTGGCACGAGATGCAGGCAGATGGATCCAGCTTTCCTGTGGGGGCCCCGGGAGCTGGGTGGGTGCATGATGAACCGGGTCAGTGCGCTGCAGGAAAGGCAAAGGGACCCCGAGCCCCGTGGCAGGGGCCAGAAGAACCGTCATGCCTAACTCAGGGCTTAGCCTGGTGAGGAAAGTTGGGTGTAAGCCAGCAGGAATATCCCAAGAGTCCTGGGTGCTCTTGGGAGGGTCTGTGGCTCCCTTGGCTGGATGTGGCCTAGGAAGCTGCCCATAGACTCAGGAAGATAGAGTTTTTCAGAATTAGGCTGGAGGGAATGACCCTGACATTGCTGTCCACGACCAACCAGATGAGGGATTCAAACTGTGCAGCCAAGCACCCGTAGGAGCAGCTTCCCTTTCACATGGGGGCCCGGACACCGGGCAGGGTGGGGTGTGCGACGAATGCCTACAGCTACCGTTATGTCGTCATTATGGCTGCTTTGATTATGGACAGAGATTTTTTTAATGGCAGTCTTCAAAACAGTTCCTCCTTCAGGAGAAAACTTAACCAGAGTGCCCCTTTTTCCCATTAACTCACAGGTCTTCGTGGGCGCTTTTACCTTTCAGCTCTGAGATCTCTTGGTCGCATAGGCCTCTGTTTTTTTGCTGGGCTCAAGCGCCATGTGAATTAAGGCACAGAGCACATGGCTCACAGCTAGGTACTTTATACTCCAGTGTGAGAGGGTCACCTTCACGCCATAGAGAAGTTTGTGCATTTAAAAATGACAACAACATTTTGAGGTATTTGTCAGCCACACATCATGGTTTCTGTCCAAAGTCTGGCTGCTGTCAAGGTTGACTCTTGGTCAACTGTGTGCTGGGAACTGGAAGGTAAACTTTGCTGAAGCTGTGCGCTGCTGGGAACATTGTAAGCATTCAGTAAATCTGGGTTTGGACTGATGTGGATATTATCAGGAGGTCTGCTGTGACCTGGCCTGACAGACACTGGCAGCCAAGTGGAAGTCTGTCCAGCAGTGTTGACTGGCACCAAGAACAAAGTTTCTTGTTAATTGCTTTGACAACGATACACCTACTCTTTCTCCCTGGGCTGGGAGCCCGGCCGGGTGTAGGGGTCAGAGAGGACTTACCGCAGGCCACAGAGGAGCTCAGGTCAGGGGAGGGATGGCACTGTAGCATGACTACAGGTGCCAAGGGGCAAGGCGTGGTGTGCCCAGGGAAGTCCGGAACAGCGAGCAGGCAATCCGTCAGAATCAGAATGGGGGTAGGGGGAGTTGGGAAAGGTGTCGCTGAGGAAGGAGCATTTGAACTGGCCTTGAGGACTGAGGAGGTTGGAAGGTAGGAAGGCAGGGGGTGGCATTCCAGGAAGAGGGAACAGCATGTGCAAAGGCACGGTGAGCAGCAGGGGTAGCGCGAACTGGAGGGCAAACTAGCAGGAGATGAGGCTGCAGAAATGCTCAGGGCCAGACAGGAGGGACTCTGTAGACTCCCCTACTGAGCCGAGGCACGGTTAGATCCTCTGTGCCATAAGCATCTCAAACTTACTTGAATCTCATATAAATAAACCGGAGCCACAGCCAGGAGAGCAGCAGCATGATCAGCATATTAGGGAAGGCAAATCCAAACCAAGAGGCGAAGTTCACGACGTCTTTGCTGTCAGGAAACAATCTGAAGGGGAAAATGCTGGTCCACATCTCTACCAGACACTGAGCTGCGGAGAGCGGGCGGGCCGTACCCTGCGGGCGGAGGCTGAGCAGCTGCCGGGCTCCGACAGGTGGTCTGGAGCGGGGCCCCCTCCTCCTGAAGTCCAGCCACCCACACCCGTCCCTCAGCATTACCCCAGTCAAGCAGGGGCCCCAGAACACAGCCACACACAAGGCAAGCCTGAGGAGCGACCAACTGCCCCTCCTGGAGGTCCACACCCCGCTGAGAAGCTCACGAAAGGCATGGCCCTTCAGTCCAGAAAAATACCCCTTTGTACACACAGATTTTGGCCAACAGCTTCAGGGGGTCCACAGATGCCTCAGAACCTCACCCCGTGGGCTTCTGCAAGGGAAGGCCCCCCCTTAGGAAATCAAATCTCAAAAGCTTCCCAGGGTGGGACCAGAAGATGTTTCCTGGGGGCTGGAGGAGGGTCACTTCCGCCCCCAACCCCAGGCACTGCTCCCTTTAGCCCAGGGGTGTCAAACTAGCCACAGAGCTTTTCCCATTCAGCCCAGAGGAACTTCAGGGGAAACCATAAGACTGTCATTACAGAAAACACTCGCAGGAGCAAAACACTCTGCTTGTTGGATCTCGAGTGTCTGCAGGCCCGCCCTTCCCACCTCCCAGCTGCCCTCCCGACCCCTGTCCAGGGTGTTTGTCTGCACAGGACGGGCACCGTCGTACTTCTGTTCCTTCCCTCTGCGCCCACTGCAATTTGTACTTATTTTCATTTACACAACCCGCCAGAACTCTCTGGGTGTCTGCTACCCTCAGCTGCCCACGAGTATCCCATGGGCAGGGCCCAGGTTCCTCTCACTTCTGTGACCCAAGCCCCACCCGGCACAAGACCAAGAACAGAACTGGGTCCTCAAAGCCTGGGTCCCTTTGTGGCCAAGGCTGGAAAGTTCTAAACCACCCCATGGTCCACCTGGAGCCTCACGGGCACACGTCCCTCTCAAGGGCAATTAGAGGGGCCATAGTGAAAGAGCCGGTGAGGCACCAGGTGACCTAACCTCTAACCTTTCCAGGTGTCATAGGACCATCGCCATTAACAACCGAGGTCGTGAGCCAGCTTTGAGGGGAGCATCTTTAGGGGCATCTATTTTCTACAAGTTTTAACCAAGGACCCCGCTTCTTGGATTACACTGTCAATTTCCATGACTAGCTCCACGTTCAATCCACATTCCCTGTCTGAGCGAGAATCCTGAGCCCAGGAAAGAAAGGCAGGACTTGTCCTGAGCAGAAAGCAACCCGGTCTGTGGACATCAGCTCCTGTGCTGTGGGGTCCTGAGCATGTGCAGGGAGGTTGGGCCACAGAGGCTGATGGCGGCCCACCCTCTCACCCCTGCCAGGCGGCCCCCACCCCCATCCAGGCTCCAGAGCCCAGCTGAAGAGGAGGGAGAGGTGGGTGGGCCCCTCCAGCCCCATCCTCCCCCCACTATTGTCCCCAAAAGGCATGGCCAGCGACTCACTCTTGCATCTGTCCCAGGAGCACCACGTTGGGTCCCGTGCCGGTCAGGGTGGCAGTGCCTCCGATGCTGGCTGCGTAGCACACGCACAGGGTCATGGCCTTGCATATGTTCTTCCTGTCGACCTCCCGCTGCCTCATGGAGGGACCTTCAAAATTCTCTTGGCTCCCTGTGGTGGGCACACTGCCGTGGGCGCACTGGGGACCACCTGCCCAGCCTCAGCTCCTGACCCTGCCGCTGACCTGAGGACCCAGGCGTGCCAGGTCTGCCGGCTCCCCGCCCAGGTTCTGTCCCCCGCCTCCAGCCCAGTGCTCTTATCCGGCCCCACGTGACCCCCAGCTACGTCCCTCGGCGAGCCCAGTCAGCGACGTCAGACACACTCCTTTCTTTCCTGCCTCCTTGCTCTTACTCAAGCTGTTCCCTTCATCTGGAGGGAGGGGCCCAAATCCATCCCAGATGTCCTCTCCTCCTAGCAAGGCCTCTCCCTTCTCTGCGCTCCCTCAGTGTCTGGCTAATGGCAACCCTTGGCCTCCCCCAAGTCAGACGAACTCTCCGAGGGGCCTCTTGACTCCATCCCACCGGGCTGCACGATAGGAGTGTGCCTGCTTCATCTCTGCAGCCCCAGGACCTGGCCCAGGGTCCGGCAATCAGGCTGTCAGCACAGGCCCTGAGTGGCCCCACGCCGGGCCCTGGGGATGGGGTAGCGAACATGACAGAGAAAAACACAGGCACTCTCTGACTCTCCTGAGCTCGGTGCCTAGCGGGGAAGCAAAGGTGGGACGACCAACCCCAGTACCTGCGGGAACAGAGTGTGGAGGCCTCCCTGAGGATGAGTAGGGGTTGAGGGGCATCCAGTAGGTGCTCAAAAGATACCCAAATGAATGATCAAATCCACACGTATTCATTTCAGTGATGGCGGGAACGGAGGGCAGGAGCTTGCTATAAGCTCTACTCAAGGATCTAACTTTTATGCACTAATCACATTCCTAAAACTTAGGAAAACAGCATCTTCTAAGTATTTCTCTACATGCCTGCTAAAAGGAGGGCTCCAGGAAGCAGGGAGGTGGCTAAAGCTGTTGGCAACAGAGGGGAAGGCTGCCCTGGCCAGGGCCTCACCTGGCAGCTCGCCGGCCTTGCCCTTGTCTGCCAGCTCCAGAGCCCCGAGGCTGGCCTCGGTGGCTGCGCTCATGGCCTCCATCTGCCGCAGCACGGCCTCCACAAGGGGCACCATCATGGCCGTGGTGGCCGTGTTGCTGATCCACATGGAGAGAAAGGCCGTGACGCCCATGAAGCCCAGCATCAGCCTGCAGAGGAGGGGCAGGGAGGAAAGCCGGAGAATCCCCGCCCCCACCTCTCACAGCCCCTAGGGAGCAGCGGGGGGGCGGCTAGGCGCCCCCTGCAGGGAAGCCAGGGGTCAGGGCCAAGGTGCTGAGGCCAGTTCAAGGTTGGCTATCCAGGAGGGGATTGCAGTTTTAGTGCCTGCCTCCCTCCCTCCCTCCCTCCCTTCCCTTCCTCCCTCTGCCCCTCTCTCCCACAAACATTACTGACATCTACTGTGCTGGCTACCGGGTCACCAGGCAGCCTGAGCCTCAGTCGTGGTCCTAAGGCGCTCACCATCTAGCCAGGGAAGCGCCAGCATCCAGTTTGTGCAGACCCAGTGTGGAGAGTTGGCCCTAATATGACTTAGGGGTGCGCTGGAGCAGCCCTGTGTGCAGGCAGACCAAACTTCCCACTTCTATCTAGAAGATTGCCACCCACCCTGACCCCACCTCTCCCCTCATGAGTTCAGAAGGGCTGCGTGGAGTCAGCCTTCAAGGGTAGGATGAGCCGGGGAGGGCCCTGGGAAGTGGGACCTCCTTCACGGCTGATCCCCTGCCCCACCTCCCTCCATTCACACTCTTTGCCGCCCTCCGCTCTGCAGTGGAGCAGATCCCCAAACAGTATTCAGAAAACGTTCCCTTTCCGTGTAACACCCCACCTTCCACCTCTGTGCCACCTGTGTCATCTGCCTAGAAAACTCCTCACGGTCTCTCAAAGCCTTCAGGCAGCATCCCTTCTCTGTCACCTCCTTCCCAGTGCGCACCAGGTAGGGCTGACCACACCCTCCTCAGTCTTCTCTAGGACACTTCTCTCTGGCTGGATTTGAAACTGTTTCCATGTCTGCTCTCTCCTTAGCACATGAGCAGGGGAGGTCTGATTCCTCTCCATGGGTCCCACACACTTGGCACAAGGCCAGGAGCAGAGAAGCTTGGGAGGGGTGGTTGGCTAAATGGAACTCAACCTCTTGGTCTCCATGCCCCTCTGCAGTCAGGCTCCTCCCCAGGGCCACTAATTTGTTTGCCTGAAGAAGGGTCTCGGGGCTGCACTGCACTGGGCTTTAGCTGGTATCCATGCAGGTAGACCTCATGGACCCATAAGTACAAAGGCTGGGATCCAGGCTAGGATGAGGGTCAGAGTTCACATGAATGAGGCTTCAACATGATGCTCCGAGGCTTCAAGGGTGGCCTCAACATACAGTTCGCCCCCAGCACAGGCAGTGCCCTGGACAGCTGGAAGCCAGGCTCGGAGGAGGAGCCAGGTGACAGGAAGGAGCAGAGAAGCGTGTGGGTTTGGGCACCCTGGGTTTGGGAGCAAAGGCGCTCCAGCACACTCCAGAATGAGCCCCACCCCCCCCCACCCCCGCTGACGGAGAAAAGCCAACCACTCAGAGGATCCTGAAAACAGGAACTCTGAGGCCTCACATTTCTAGAAAATGCAATGGCTTCTGATTTGACACTGTAAGTCAATCACTGGAGGGGCTCGGGTGACAGGTCGGAGAGTCACAAAGCCCTCACTCAAGGCAGCTGAGGCGCCAAGGGTGCTCGGGCGGGCCGGGGCCTCTGTGTGCTCAGAGCCCAGCATGGCCCTTGACATGAGGACGTAGCAGGAGGGATTTACTGTGAGCTACCAACCTGCCTTCCCAGGGCTGGGCTGGGTCACGCCATTATTTAGGGAGCACGTTGCCTCAAAAAATGGTGCATGCTGAGTTCCCAATTAGAGGGGGCAAGGCCCCATCAGACAGGCCCGGTCTAATCCGCATGTGACGTCAGCAAACCATTTAACCCCTCTCTGCCTCAGAACAGAACGTGGGTGATGGGAATAATCCCCAACCCTCAGAGGTGCGGTGAGAGTCAGATGAGGTGGTAAATAAGCCCCCGGTATCATGCCCGGGGCCCTGTGGGCGCTCGGTACACCCAGGTGTTTCTGCTATATCAACTCCACGGCTTGGTCGGAATGGCCTGTGACTGTCAGGGGAGATCCTGGAGAGGGGTGAGACGACTGAGTAATGGGGGAAGGGTGGGGTAAGCAGCAGCTTTGCAGAGGGAATAGATGTGCCAGCCTTGGAGGGATGACCTTTCTGCTCCCCCCTGAGCTGCGTAGTTGAGCCATCTCTTTCCCGCTTTCCCCACAAAGCCCCTAGGGGTATCAGGCATGGCTTGATCCAGCCTCCACCCGCCCAGAGGTCTGCCTGGCTGCAAAGCCCAGGTAAGGCCATGGCCAGTCCTTGCCTGTGGGTGATCTGGCCTGTGCCACATGCCCCTCCCTGGCCCTGGGGCCTAGTGCAGAGCCCTGCGGTAAGAGAGAGAAGGCGTAATTACTGGGCAGGCTTGGCCCCCACCCAGAGGAGTGTGCGCAGGGCGATCCTCTTATGCAGGTTCCAGTGCTCCACGGCCACAGCCACGATGAGGCCACCCAGGAACAGCATGTTAGTGTCCTTCATGTACTGGATGCACACCTGCAGGACAGCATGGAGGCCCCATCAGGCCTGCCCCCTGACCACACACTACTTGGGCTCAGGGTCACCCAAGTCCCCAGAGATAGGCGAGCAGAGCATGCTGACTTCAGGGCAGCTTGGAATGGGGATGGAGGGTCAAGGGTATGTCTCTATGCCAGAGAGAGCCCACAAACAGGGTATTATCTGGTCCCCCGGGTCCTAGGCAGCTCAGAGAAGGGCTCGGAGAAGGAGCCACTGGGAGAGAAGCAGGAAGCCGCTCGGATGCCCTGCGGCTGCTCACCTGTTTGGAGTCCAGAATTTTGAAGAGTGGGAAAAACAAGGCAGGCATGAGGGCAGTGACAGCCAGAGGGATGACTTCTGTGCACCAGTAAATCGCCATGAGGATGATGACATAGGCACACCTGACAAACTGAAGAGACGGCACTGAGGCCTGGCGAACTGCTGCCGCCCTGCTCCCCACCCCAGAACGCTCGGGACAGCAGGGCATGGACTGTCCAAACAGGGTGGCATGTCAGTGGGGAGCGCTGCTTCCCTGCCCCCGTCAGCACAGCCTTCCAGGTTCAGGACAGTGAGGAGGGCACAGGACCCGTCGTCAAGAGGCTTCTGCTCCCTGCCCCCCAGCTGTGCGGTCCTGGGCAGGTCTCTCACCCTTCCAAGCCTTGCATCCGTCCTCACGTCTTCACAGGGAAGAAGAGGGGGGAAAGGAGGAGGAGGAAAAGGAGGAGGAGTGCAAGTGGGGGAAGGGGGGAGGAGGAAGAAGGAGGAAAGAGGAGGAAGAGGAGAAAAAAGAAAATACTGTTTTTGATGACCTGCTCTAAAAATTAAATCATTTTACAAAGTAAGTGCAATTCTTAGGGAAGGCTCCCCAAAGCACATCCTCAGACTCCTGGTAGCTCTATCTAATTTCCTTCTCAAAAGGCTGCTCCAACTTCCTCGGCTCCCAGAAATGTGTGTTCTAAGCCAGCTCATTCAGAAAATGGCCAGCACTGAGGATTTGCAGGGCTGTTTTTTATTATAACTGAGAAGATGGTCTTGGCGTCTATTAGCCTCTCTAGTTACAAGGGTCTCAAGCTTTACTGTTCGTATTTAATCTTGTGTGAACTGCCTGTTCACACCCTTTAGCTACTTAGCTCCTGGGATCTTGGCTTTGGAGTGAGACAGACCTGGGTTTGGTTCAAGCGCTCGCGGCCCCGGCCCCTTACTCACTGTAGGACTTTAATTCTCCGTCTCATCGCCTAATAAAATAGGGATAATAATGCCCACCTCCCTGTGTTGTTTTTTGTTTCATCACCATTTTTACTATAATCATTATTAACCGACCAGCCTCTGCCTCTCCCTCATTCCAGCCCCCTCCAGTTTAATTAGCCTCCAAAACCTATAGCTTCTGCCCCAGAATCTTCCTCTTTCCCTTCTTCCTTCACCCTGTGGCCCTGCCTTTGCTCAGGCCACATCTTCTGCCTGCATCACTGCGGGTATCTTTTTTTTTATTTGCTGTTTTATTCACTGTAGTTTTTTTTGTAATTGAAGTATAGTTGATTTACAATATCATGTTAATTTCAGGTGTACAGCACAGCTATCTTCTAATACGATCTTTCTACTTGCATCGCTCCACACTGCTGCTCCCTCTTTCTCTTTTTACAAACCGGATCTTATCACTCCCTTGTTTAGGAGCCTTCCTTTGCCTTCAGGACAAAAGCCAAATGCCTTAGCATGTCTTGGGAGACCCTCTGTGATGGAGCAGGCCCTGCAGGGCCCTCCAGCCACATCTCCCATGCCCATTCCCACCCCGAGCTCCTGAGACCCCAGGGCACTGGTGGGAACGGAGGCAGATGCTCCGCCTCCCACAGCTGCTCTCACACATGACATCATTCCTTTGGCCTGGAGTGAGTGCTTGGGGCTCAGTTCACTGCTGCCCCTAGTCTGGGTCTGTGTCCTTCCTCTATGCACGCCCCCACCCGCAGCAATTAGCACACTGGGTTGGCATTATATTTCACCCACCATTGAACACTGAACAGTGGAGTGAGCAGTGGAGGGCAGAATCCGTGTCACTCGGCATCCAGCACAGGCCTGAAACCCCAGGGACACTGCAAACGCTGATTAGAGAAACGGACCAGCACAGCACGGGCTGTGACAACACTGCTGGGAAAACGTACCTGCACACGATCACTGTTTATCACCACCCGAGATAACACATATTATACGCATGGAACATCACACGAAGGCTGAGACGTTCTTTGTCTGGATTGTGTTGTCAGTGATAAAAATAAATCTTTCTTCGGCAGCCCATGAGAACCCCAGGACACCTCTCTGCTGTCTAATGCAGGGTTTCTCAGCCTCGGCACTACTGACATTTTGGGTTGGATGGTTCTGTGTTGGTGGGGGGTGGGGGCCTGTCTTGTGCATGGTAGGATGTTTGGCAGTCTCTCTGGCCTCCACCCTGCTAGATGCCAGTGGCACTCTCCAGTTGTGACAACAAAAAATGTCTCCAAACTTTGTCAGATGTGCCTTTGTTGGGAAGGAGGGGAGAATCAATGCTGGTTGAAGCCTCTGGGCTCAAGGCAGGATAGCAACGTGGTTAGAAGACCAGGCTTTGACACCGGGCAGGCCTGATCAGCGTCTGCTGTCTGCCATTGTGTGGCCTTCAGTTATGCCTTCTCTGGGCCTTGGTGTCAAGGGAGAGAGAGGTAGGAATGGTCCGCTGCAGGGTGGGGCAATAAGAGGGTGTGCTGTAGAGAATTTTAAAACGGTAATACTGTCTAAAACTCACTCTCCTTCTTCTTATCATCATGTGAGAACAATTCCCAACAATGTCTTTTTTTTTTTTGCGGTACGCAGGCCTCTCACTGTTGTGGCCTCTCCTGTTGCGGAGCACAGGCTCCGGACGCGCAGGCTCAGCGGCCATGGCTCATGGACTCAGCCGCTCCGCGGCATGTGGGATCTTCCCGGACCAGGGCATGAACCGGCGTCCCCTGCATCGGCAGGTGGACTCTCAACCACTGTGCCACCAGGGAAGCCCTCTCTCCTTATCATCATGTGAGAACAATTCCCAACAACGTCTTTGATAAAATATTCCTCCCACTCCCAACCCTGGCCCCTCCCCCTGCTTGTTTCATGTCCTCACCTGTAAATTGAGGATTTAAAAGTACCTATTCTTAACATATGGCACACAGAAAGTGATTTTTTTATTATCTGAACTTAGAAGCGGCAGGTGACACGTGTAACCAGTTTTCCCGGGACAGTTCCTAGAGGCGCCAGAAGTAACCAACAGAAAAGACACAGGCTAACTGCCCTCTCACTTCCGTGCTCCTATCAGGAGACCCAGGAGGGTGCCCCATCCCTGAATACTACCAGTCAGCAAACTTGACCCTCCCTCGTCTAGAATGCTTCCAGAGTGTTGTGGAGAGAGCAGAATAGGACAGGTGACCTTGGGGAAGCCTGAGGAGCGGTTGGTCACCGTGCAGAATGAGATGGATTCTACCTGCAGATGGGAGCCCAGTTCTTGGTCAGTTCAGAGCCTTCCCTGCAGCTGAGAGTGTGGCCGGAGGAGCACTGCAAGCTGAGCTCGCAGTGGACAGTGGGATTTAAAAGTCCACACCCAGCACAGTGGAGAGCACATAGTGGGGCTCAAAAAATACGTTAAGTGAACAACTGAAGAAAACCATGGCTCATTTTTTACCTAATTATTAACAAATAAGGGCGTCCATGACATAGTGCTTAATGGAAAATTGTAGCTAAGAGAACATACTGTGTATGTGTCTTATGGGATTTGAAAGTCTTTTCATTTTTACTTTATACTTCACAGACTTTAAAAATAATATATAGGGCTTCCCTGGTGGCACAGTGGTTGAGAGTCCGCCTGCCGATGCAGGGGACACGGGTTCGTGCCCCGGTCCGGGAAGATCCCACGTGCCGCGGAGCGGCTAGGCCCGTGAGCCATGGCCACTGAGCCTGCGCGTCTGGAACCTGTGCTCCGCAACGGGAGAGGCCACAACAGTGAGAGGCCCCCGTACCGCAAAAAAAAAAAAATAATAATACATAACTTTAATAACACAATGAATCTACTTTTTTATTTAATAAAAAGCTATTTTTTTTTAAAAGCTATTTTTTTTTAAAGAAAGAACCCAGAGAACAGGCAGAAAAGTGGAGCAGAGATGAAGACAGGAAGGAAGCAAGGTGCAGGAGAAGAGGAAAAGAAGAAAGCCTGCAGGAGAGGGGCCCGGGCACTGGCAGAGGGTGACATGCCCTGGGAGTCGCCGCCCCGCTTGGACAGTGCCGCCCAGGCTGCCAAGTTCTCGCCAGCTTCCCCGCTGCTCTGCCCCCTGCCCTGGGTTTCCCTACAAACTTTGTGGCCGTGGGTGGGGACGGGGAGCCCCTCAGGGTGACCAAAACAGAAGCACACAGGGAGAAAACAAGCAGACAGGGTTCTGGCTCCCAGTCACCTGCACCACTGGGAGAGAAAGCACATGAAGTCAGCCCCTGGAACGACCTTTACTGATACCTCCTCTTCCCTCACCTGATTCTCACTCCCAGGGCAGGTCAATGACATGCATTCACAGCCTGAATTGGGGGTCCCAGCTCAGGGCCACCTGTGTGTGTGGGGATGGGATGGGCAGGAGTGGTGGTGGGGTCTCGGCCATACTCTTCCGGAGCAGGAAGGTCAGCAAAGCTGCCATAATTGATGTCCAGGGAACCTCACTCCCCACCAGCAGAACTAAAATCACAGCTCTCCTGCCTGGCTCCCTCCCACAGATGATAACAGCCCCAAATCTTTTTCTACAGAGGAAATATGGCCGATCACAGTTGGTGTGGAAACTAAAGAACCACTCTAGTTGGATCTGCTGTCCTTGGCCCATCCAGGGTCTGTGTTCAGCCCACCCAAGGGCTCCTCCCAGCCTCCCCCTCCCCCATCCTAGGAACCAGCATAATCTCTTTTGGCACCAAAAGCCATAAAATGTCAACAACCAAACCACCTTTCCCCATCGTACAGACAAGAACACCAAGGCCCAGAGAACGCAGGGGCTTGGCTAAAATCACAAGGATGGGGCTTCCCTGGTGGCGCAGTGGTTAAGAATCCATCTGCCAGTGCAGGGGACACGGGTTCGAGCCCTGGTCCGGGAAGATCCCACATGCCGCGGAGCAACTAAGCCCATGCGCCACAACTACTGAACCTGCGCCCTAGAGCCCACAAACCACAACTACTGAAGCCCGCGTGCCTAGAGCCCGTGCTCCTCAACAAGAGAAGCCACCGCAGTGAGAAGCCCGCCACAGCAACAAAGAGTACCCCCCGCCCGCCGCAACTAGAGAAAGCCCGCGTGCAGCAACAAAGACCCAACAAAGCCAAAAGTAAAATAAATAAATAATAAAATCACAAGGATGGGTGAAATGTGGAAGTCCAGTTCTCTCAAAGATTGGCTTCCCGATACCCCAGTACAACCCCATTCCTCTAGGACTGCCCTCAGAACATCCCCTAAAGAGCTCCTCCGTTTCCCAAACCTGGTTGGGCTGGGGGAAGCTGAGGTTTCCTGTCTGGGCTGAGAGTGAAAGGTGGAAAGAGGGAATGAGGAAGGAGCAGCCAGCAGCCAAAAGCCTTCAAAGGGCTCGGGCCTCTGCCAAACAGGCCTCGCACACTGCCCAGCAGGGCCTGGGCCCGGGCTCCCCGCACTGCCCCCACCCTGTGGCCAAGGCCATTCATTCTCCGCTTCCCTCCTGGGAGCACCAGGAGGCCAGGGCTTGGGACACGGCTTCCCAGAGACCCTGCGTCGTGCCACCCAAGGCGTGAGCTCTGGGACCATGTCCCACCTCCTGCCGCCTCCACAGCGGGCAGTGAGCAAAAGCAGGCCGACCTGACCTGCATTTCAGCCGGGAGCAGGTTTCTGACTCAGCTGTGGCTGCCCAGGTTTCAGAGCTGGAAAGAAATGTGGATCATAGACAGGGAAACCGAGGCTCAAAGGAGGGCCAGAGAGGGACAAAGATGGCACTCAGGGTTCACTTAGGTGATGATCTTTCCGTGTAGGTCCCCGACTGGCCTCGGAAGCCACCTACAGCTGGGAAGTCCCCATTCCCCAAGGGAAGAGACGGGAGAAAGAAGGGAAAGACAAGCCCCCAGGCTCCCTCTTGGTACAGGTGGCATTTGGGGGGCCTGGGGACTGGGCTATGCACTCTGGGGAGATTCTGAGCCTATAGAGGTGCTGTGTGGCCAAGATCGGTGCTAACTTCTGGGTTTCTGTGCTTGCCAAAACAGTTCTTGCGCCCTGGGATCTGTGAACCCCAAGATCCATGCCTGTCAGAATTCTTTGCAGGGCACCTCCCATAGCACCCGGAGCGCCTGAGCCTCCGTGCCCCAGGGGAGCCGTGCCCGCCCCCGGGAATCCGTGCGCTCCACCTAATGCTCCCGGGTTCGGTGCCTGCTGCTGGGCACCCGGCGCCCAGAATCCAAGGGGCTGCCCAGAGACGCAACTGACCTTGGCGGGCATCAGAATGATGAGTGGCAGCAGCAGAATCGGGGTGACGAACAAGATCACGAAGGACTTGAACTTGGAGACATAGCTCAGTGCGGAGGCCATCGCGGAGAGGGAGTCTGGCGGGAGAGGCGAGAGAGGGGCAGCCAGTAGCTTCACGGGCTTAAGAAGGGGCCGCAGTCCAGGGGGTTGGAGGGGGCGGCGGGAACTCCGCCTCTCGTGGTGGGGCCTCCCCGCGGCCCTGGGGCGGGGCCAATCCCGCGGGGTCGGTGGGACAAGCCTGCCCCCAACTCTGCCTCTGGGCGGAGGCGGGCGGCGCCCACGGACTCCAGCGCTTCTGGCGGGCCCTCCAGGAGTGGTCTGGGCCCTGGCACCTCCTGGCTCTCCGAGACTTTTCTGCGGTGCCCTAGACAGGCTCCCGCGGACGGCCAAGCGGGAGTGATTGGTCATTCAGTCTGCTGGCTTAGGCGTACGGCGCCCCCTCTAAATCCGCACCTGCCCTTCCTGGGCCCTGCCGGGGTCCCAGGTGAAAGTCCCTAGCGGTTTCTGAGTCTTTCGGATCCGTCTCCCCAACCTCTCCCTCCTTTTCACCTGGTTACTCCTGCCCCTCCCACTCTCACCCCGGAGGGGTCTCCCGCAGCGACCCACCGCGCGCCCAGCGCCGTCTGCTCCGCGGGCCTCCCCTCCCGCCCCCCGCCTCACCCTCAGCTTCCCTGCAGTGTCCGCGCTGCTCTGGGCACAGGACTCGTCCCCAGCGCGCCCTCTCCCACCCAGCGCATCCCGGGCACTCTCCAGCGATCGCGGAGGAGGTGAGGCCACCGTCCTCCGCAGCCCGGCGTGCTTTCGCCCTCCAGCGGACACTGGCGCAGCCCGCCGACGCCCTGCTGGCACTGCGTGCGCGGAAGGCGGACTGAGCCCGCCTGACAGCGGCAGCTACTGCCATTCTACAGGGGAAACGAGGGTCCCAAGAGGAAGGGACTTAACCAAGGCTGCCCTGAGAGGGTCGTTCGTTCACTCGGCCCGCCTCCTGCGGACAAGTACTGAGCGCCTATTCTGTGCTAAGCCCTGTTTTGTGCGCTGGAGGTACAAGGTTGCAGATACTACCACCCCTGTCACTTTCTTCTTTCCTCCCTTCTCCTCTGCCTGCCGGGCTTCACATTCTGTAGCTTTCTTTGGGGGAGGCCTACCCCAGTTTGTGGTTTAACCACAGCCTGTTCCTTAGTGATTAGTATCCTCTGTCTTCAACCTAGCCCTGGTGCCAGAGTCCCAGATTCTCCATATTTCCAGCTTTTTCCAGCCTGGATGTGCCTCAGGCCCTGAAACTCAACACATCCTAAATCAAATTCATGAGTCTCCTCCTGTGACCTCCACCTAAGGACAGGTATTCCCCCAAACCCTTCCTGTATCTTTCTTCTGTCCTCCCCCTTTGTAATTCTCATTCATCTAGACCTGGGTTTCCCTGCCTCCCCCCATCCCAGGGCACTGAGCACTGTTTGTACCTATTTAATTATTGGTGTGATTTTTACATTTTTATTTATTTATTTATGGCTGTGTTGGGTCTTCGTTTCTGTGCGAGGGCTTTCTCTAGTTGCGGCGAGCGGGGGCCACTCTTCATCGCGGTGTGCGGGCCTCTCACTATCGCGGCCTCTCTTGTTGCGGAGCACAGGCTCCAGACGCGCAGGCTCAGTAGTTGTGGCTCACGGGCCCAGTTGCTCCGCGGCATGTGGGATCTTCCCGGACCAGGGCTTGAACCCGTGTCCCCTGCACTGGCAGGCAGATTCTCAACCAGTGCGCCACCAGGGAAGCCCCATTGGTGTGATTTTTATTTAACGTTTGTTTTATTCATCACCATATGTCCAACCAGCACCTTTTACAGTGCCTGATCTGATATGTGCACTCAAAACTTTTTCTCTGGGATGTGTGAGTGAATGCAAGTTGTCAATGAAAAAAATCAATCAATAGTCAATCTAAGAAAGAAATGGAAATTTTTATTACAGCCAACCTGAGGATTAAAACCCAGGAAATAGCCTTTCAGAAAGCTCTGAGGACTGCTTTTCCTGTTAGAGGTCCAGGCACTTAAGTTTTTGAGACAAAGGGTTATACATCAAAGTAACATGTTGACGGTTTATGTAGTCCAACAAGGCAAGTAGTGGGTTACTGTGACCCCTTACAGGATTGAAAGAGGAATGTTATCTCCTGAGGAGTTACCTTGCTGGCGCCAGGAGAAAATACCCCCCCTTTTTTTTTGGCGAGTAGGCATTCCTGTGTCTTCTAAGGGGGTCTAGTTAATGTATAATGCAGATACACAATGCACATTAAAGGGACGAAAGTAGTGGCTCAAACAGGCAGAGAGAGAATTTTATGTTTAAAATTTTTCTTGTCCTGCCTTAAAAATAATTGTATTTCCTCTAAGTAAACCAGTTCCTTACAGTAATACAACTGCTTTTATTACCCAACCGCACTTGGGTCCGTTAGCCAAACACTCAGCAAAGCCAGTCTACTGACACTAGGTTGTGGTGAAGTGTGGTGTTTATTGCAGGTGCCAAGCAAGGAGAATAGGCAGCTCATGCTCAAAAAGACCCAGACTCCCCAATGGCTTTCAGGGAAGAGGTTTTTTTTTTTTCTTCTTTGCGGTATGCAGGCCTCTCACTGTTGTGGCCTCTCCCGTTGCGGAGCACAGGCTCCGGATGCGCAGGCTCAGCGGCCATGGCTCATGGGCCCAGCCGCTCCGTGGCATGTGGGATCCTCCCGGACCGGGGCACGAACCCGTGTCCCCTGCATCGGCAGGCGGACTCTCAACCACTGTGCCACCAGGGAAGCCTGGGGAAGAGTTTTTAAAGGCAACATTTGAGTTTTTAAAGGGTTGCAGGGGACCTGACTTTCTTCTGATTGGTTGGTGGTGGTGGGGTAACAAGGTGGTGTCTCGCAACTCTTGATCGTCAACCTTCTGGTTCCAGCTAGTCTGGGGTCTATGTGCTGTGGTCAACATGTACCCCATCCTCCACCTGGGTGGGGGCGGGGGCGGGTCTTAGTTCTTGCAGAACAATTCAAAGATGTGTGTCAGATTGTATATATATCCCTCAAGGAGGAACTAGTATCCTGTTTTATTGCTGACCTATTGTTTCTTGACTGCTTTTCCTCTGTTCCTGCGTTCCCTCACTTCCCTAATTAATAACTGCTTGAGTCTGCTCTTTGGAATTCAGGGAAGACCTGGGAGACCAAAGCCTTTTTCTACAAAAAAAAGAAATGGATACGGAGGGGCTTTTTTACCCGGGAGGACCCCACAGGGTCCTGCTCGGTTTCAATCCCCCTTTTCTTTGATCCTCCTCAATCCTAAGGGGAACAGGGGCAGGACAAGAAAGAGAATAAAGTTTTGGATAGAGAGGTTAATCATAAACTCAGCAGGGGAACTCGGTTTTAAGGGGACTCGATTTCACTTTAAAGGGGGTATACGTGGTTAGAGCGTGGACTCTAGAGCTGGACCGCCTGGATGCATGTCCTACCCCTAATCTCATCCTGGCTGTGTGCCTTATCAAGTTGCCCTCTCTGAGCTTATTTTTTCATAAATAACACCAACTTTGATTTGAGAAGGTTGCTTTGAAGATTATATGAGTTAATGCTCAGAAAATGCTTACCAGTGCCCTGGCATATCATCAACAATCAGTAAATATTTGCTCTTGCAATTATGTGCAAAATACTCTTAGTGTCAGGAACAATGGGGAAGGCTTCACCCAGGAGGTGGCATTTGAGCTGAGACTTCAAGGCTGAGTAAAAATTTGCCAGGCAGCAGTGGAAGGTAGTCAAAATCACCAATGAATGATAAAGTGTTCAAATCGTTGAGAAAAATCCTGAGATAATTCAGGAATACTGGAGACTAAAGTGCAGCGACAACAAAAATAAGCTAATAAATGGAAAGATTATACCAAGTTCATGGGTAGGAAGACTAAACACTGTAAAGGTATGCATTCCTCTCAAATTAATCTATAAATTCATTTCAATTCCAGTGAAAATCCCAACAGAATTTTTATTTGACAAGCTACATCTAAATTTCAAACTTTTGCAAGGAGCCAAGAATAGATAAGACACTTCTGAGGAGAGGGGGGAAATTAGTCTTATCAGAATAAGACTCACTAAGTGATAGTAACTGATGTAACTGTTAGCTATTGGCATGAAGATAGAAAAATAGATGAGTAGCATAAAATGAAGAGCCTAGAAGTAGACGCAGGCTTAGATGGAAACTTGCTATGCAAGAAAGATTACATGGACTAGCCAGTGCCTACTGGCAGCTGCTAAACTAATTAGTTTTAAGCAGTAGAGGCATTTTTCTTTCACTAAATATGTTAAACACATAACAAAAGTTTGATCATAATATGTAACAAATTAATAAAGTTATTTCTGATTTTTTGATCCACGAGTCATTCAGTTTTTCCCGATTCTCATCAATTGAAATGGGAATTCAATTGATACGTGCAAATTTATTTACCAGCAAATACTGACAAAGTACTGATGAGGACGCGTAGCAACCGCGTCTCTCATTCATTGCTGGTGGGAATATAAAATAGTGCAAACACTCTGAAAAATAGTTTGGCGGTTTCTTATAGAGTCAAACATACATTTACCATAAAACCCAGCATCACACACCTGGGAATTTATGCTAGAGAAATGAAAACTCATGTTCACACAAAAACCTATATGTGAATGTTCAGAGGAATTTTATTTACAATAGCCCCAAGCTAGAAACAATCCACGTGCCCTTCAGCGGGTGAGTGGTAAAGAAGCTGCACTTTATCCACGCAGTTGGAATACTGCTCAGCAGTATAAAACAAGAAAGAAGAAAGAAAGAAAAAGAACCTACTTGGATGGATCTTAAGGGCATTATGCGGAGAGTAAAAAGCCAATCACAAAGTGTTACTTACGGCATTCCATTCATATAACATTCTGCAAGTGAAAAAAACTAGAGGGAGGTGGAACAGACCAGTAGATGCCAGGGGTCAGGGTTGGGGGAGAATGTGACTATAAAAAGGTGACTGAGCAGTTTTATATCCTAACTGTAGTGATGGACATACTAATCTATCCACGTGATAACGTTTCATGGAACTACACCCACACCCGCATACACACACACACACACACACACACACTGCACGTAAAAATCATTAAAACCAAATAAAGTCTGTAGTTGAGTTGTCAGGATTGTACCAATGTCAGTTTCCTGCTTTTACTAGCATGCTATGTCTGTATGGAATGCTGTGGTGGGGCAGTCTGCAGAATGGGAACTCTCTGTACTCTTTTTGCAACTCCTTATAAATTAAACTATGTTAAAATTTAAAACCCCTTTTAAAATTGCAGTAGGTAAAAAATAAACTTTAGACTAATGAATCCCATCCCTCCCAATTCATATTTTTATGGCTGATATTGTAGCAAAGAGAATGGTATTACTGTTGAGAGGCTGACATGCATAAAACATGCCTAGGAATGCAATTGGTGAATAGTTTTACTTAAACTTTAGATACTTTTATTCGAGTCTATTTGTGTCTATTTGGGCAGGGTGTGTAAGTATTTCTATGGATAGAGCAGCTACAAGGACTGGTCACTGCTACTAAAAGCAGGCATCGCTTGTCTCCAGGCTTTAACTTGGGAACACTGTTTTATTTGTAA